GCCTCACCGTCGCACCGCGCGCTCCACGTACAGCTCGTAGGGCAGGGCGTACATGAAGGCCGAGGGGGGCATGGTCTGGTGGAAGGCGGTGTCGAAGACGGCCACCTGCGGCATTGGTGGGCACATGGAGCGCAGCCAAGGGGTGGGGCCGAGTGCCTGTACATTTTATCTATGTGTACTTGGCCGACGGCGGGGTCACCCAGCGCTGGTTGCAGCAGCAGAGTGGGGTGCACAGGCAGGGGAGGGGGCGCAGAGGCATGGACGCTGAGCCGCGTGGCCCTGGATGCGGTTCCATGGGACTCGCCGCTCCTGCTGGCGGCTGTGGGGCTGTTTGCGGGGCGGGGGGTGGAGGGGCTGGCTCGGGCCGGACCAATGTATGCAAGAAAAACAAAACTACAGAGGGCTCGCCTGCGGCACGCCCGCAAAGGTCCTCATGGCGGCGTCGATGCCCATCAGGTTGGGCGGGTTGTGCAGCGGCGCCAGGTCGGAAGCCTTGTCGATGGTAGCCCGGATCTGGTTGCTGCAAAACGAGAAAGGAAGAAAACTTAAAGGAAGCACGGGTGGCGAGGGGGGCAGCAGGCGGGAGCTGGAGCGGGTGGTGTGCCAGCCATCACGTGGGAAGGGAAGACGACAAGCCCGGGGTGCAAAGCGGGCGAGAAAAGTGGCGGCAGGCGGGCGCGTGGAAGCGCTGGCAGGCGGGCGTCCCAGCGGCTGGGTGCCGCCGCGTGCATGCGGGCACACATCCGCCAGCAAGGCAAGGCAGAGAGGTGCACGCACGTGATGAGCACGGGCTGGCTGATCTCGCGGCCGTGCACCACTCGGTGGCCCACGCCGTGCACCTCGCGGGTGAAGTCCTGCGGTACATGGCGGTACAGGGCGGTACAGGGCGGTACTCAGGCGGCGCTTGGGCTGGAGGCGGCGTGCTGCGTGTGGGGAGGTGGCACCGCCGGCGCGAGAGCGCCAGGGTGCCCAGGGCAGACGCCAGGCGCTGGGTAGACGGCGAGGTGTTGCGCGGCAGGTGCAGGTGCGCCGACACGCAGGCAGCCAGCCAGCGCACCCCCTTGAATGCGCCGCTCAGGAACTGCGACACGCTCTGCAGGGCCGAGGTGTGGTCCGCCATCGGCTGCTCCTCCTTGGTCTCCCCGCCGCCGTTGGCCTTGGCCTGCAGCAGCCCGGCGGCGGCGGCGCCCCCAGCGGGGCCTCAGGCCGCCGGCCGCGAGCCTGAACTTCGCCCGCAGCGGCAGCAGCTGCCGGACGGATGCCCCCGCTTGCAGCCGGCCAGCCAAGCACCGCTGCCCGGCCAGCCGGCCGGCCGGCCAGGCAGGCTACCCACCCGTATGAAGGAGGCGCCTGGGTCTCCCACGCGCTCGCAGATGCCCGAGGCGATCGCCTTGAGCGCCTGCCCGCCCACCTCCCCCATCTGGAACAGCTTGAACTTGAGGCTGGAGCTGCCGGCGTTGATGACCATCAGCTTGTTGCGCGCCATGGCGGCTCCGAGTGTGAGACACTAGGCCAAGGGCTGCTGCTGCTGCTGCTTCTGCTGCTGCGGCGGCTGTTGCTGTTTCTGCTGTCGCTGCTGTTAATGACTAGAGGTGCTCAACTGCGGGCTGTCAGCGTCGGCACCACCGCTCGACCACAGCCTCTCAGGCGCCTCCCGCAGCTAGGCAGGCTCGGCTGCGTGGCCTTGGTGCGCGCCCCAGGGGTCAGGCTGCGGGGTGGGCAGGGCAGGGGCCTTTGGGTTGGGTCGTGCAGGGCACAGTCGGGAGAGCGGCGGCAGCATGCCGCCGCCGCCGCCAGCGGGCGGGCACCCTGCCCCGGACATGCCTCGGCAGGCCGGCGGCAAGCTGCAGGCTGCACAGCACGTTGCTTCAGTGTTGTTTGCGTGATTGCTGGCGCCGGTTGGGAGGCAAGGCAGTCAAGCGGGGCGGGGGCTGCGCCTGCTGCTTGTAGGCAAGAGGACGGCTGGACTGGCTGATGTTTGGCATGTCCATCGATCGCATTGGGGACTGCTGCTGCACAGCCCACGCCTCACCTGGCCAGCGCTAGGAGCGATGACGCGGAGCCGCGAGGCTGGAGGGCTCGGCTGGCTCAAACCCTAAGGGTCACGTCAAGTGGATGACTGCAAACCACTGGTGGGGTATTTTGCGATGGTCAGCGCCAACCTGGCTTACGTGTCATCCCACCCAGCAGAACCCAAAGTCGAAGCACTCATGGCCTCCTGGTGCCCCCATGCCCTACCTTGATGGCTATCACATTGTTCTGGAGCCCATGGTATTGGAAAGGAGCCCCCACAAGAGGCAGGGAGGATGGGAATCCTAATGGTTGCGGCGACAGCCTGGCGGCGTCCTGCCGTGACATGCAGAGCCCCGGCGCTGCCTCTGCATTCCTCAAACTGCCGTGCTCAGTCTCTCCCTCGTTTCTCGGGTGTTGGGGCGACTGCCCAGCTCTGTTTGGCCTCCTGCAGAATTTGTCAGTGGCGCGCTGAACGGCTGCCTGTGCAGCGGCAGCAGCCATGCGGCGGCTACAGTTGGCGGCCTGCAGGTTGCTGAAGGCTGAGAGCGGGTGAGCCCTGCGGCCTCCCCATCTGCCGGCCCCAAAATGCTGCTGCCGGCTGCTGTGCCCGCGATCGGCGCCTGGCCAGTGCTGCAGCGGCTGACCTGGCAGCCCCAGGAGGCCGCAGGACCGCCCGAGGCAATGGGTTGGGAGCAGTGAGCAGCGGCGTCAGCGTGGCGCCGCCTCCCCACCTGCCGTGCCCTGCCTCGCCCCCAACTCAAGCCCGTCCCCCTCCCATGCACCTCGCAGCGCGCTAGCCAAGCCTTGGACGGATCCCACCGGCATGGTGGGCACCCTGCTGAAATCGGCGGCCTTCTCGGCGGCGGCCCGAGGCGGCGGCAGCGCCGTGGTCGGGGGCCCTGCCGACTCGCTCTTCTGCACCAATGTGTCTGGCCTCAAGGGCAACTCCCCCATCCTTATCGGCCTCATGGAATACTTCTCGGTGCGGGCCCGGCCTTGCCTGCCTGGCGCCTGCTCGCTTGCTTGCCGCGAGAACAGCAACAGCGCTGCTCACTAGCTTTTTTGTGGGCCCGCACTCCCAACCAACTCCTGCCCCCGCCCTGCCTGCTTCCCGCAGCGCCACATGCCGCACGTCGGCTTCTTCCAGCCCATCGGCGCCGACCCGCTGGTCCACAGCGCCAAGTATGCCAAGCTGCCCAAACATGTGGCCCTGTGAGTGCATCCATTAACGACCTATTGATCTGCTCCCTGATCCAGCTGTTCCCTGCCCCATGCTCGTGTTCCTGTCCCTGGCACAGCTGCATGCGTGGCTGTCTGCACGCTGCTGGCTGCGGTGTGATGCTGCCGCCGCCGCATTGCGGCGCCCTGGGCCACTGGCTGGCTGAGGATGCTGCGTCTGCCAGCCAGCAAGCCGCAGCTGTTGGGCTCACCGGCCCTCCGGCCTCCCCCACCCACTCACCCCACTACCGTCCCTTCTGCTGGCCCTGCCTGCAGGCTGAAGGAAGCCTTCAGCCTCCCCGACGACCCCTCCCGCATGTATGGAGTGACGGGTGACGAGGCCCAGGTGCACTGCGGCGCTGCCTCCCTCGCCCTCCGCCGGCTGAGTATGCTGCCGTCCCGTCTCGCCCGCCTCCCTGCCCAGCCGGCCAGCCTCAGCTGCCTGCCTGGCCTGCCTGCATGCATGCCCTCCCGCGCCTCCCGCTGCTCCCCATGCAGGCTCTGCTGGCCAGTGGCCGTACCGAGGAGCTGATGGACAAGGTGTTTAGCCGGTACCAGGAGTACCGCCAGGCCAAGGACATGGTGATTGTAGAGGGTACCACGGTGAGCCGGTCTGCTTTCTTCCTGCTGCCTCCTGGCCTTCGCGCCTCGTCTCTTTCGCTTTTCTTCCGTCTTCTGTCCCTCTGCCTGCCTGCCAGAGCGGTCCAGCAGCGGGGCGGCATAGCAGAGCGGTGCCTGCACTGGCTGAGTAGGGCGAGTTGGGGCTGCGTGGCGGCTGGGATGCCAGCACTGAGGCAGCTTGTCCTCGGCTGTGCTGGGCTTTTGCCTTCGATTTATCAAGGTGGCGGCCCAGCAGGTTGGGTGCACATCCTGCCGCAGTGCTGTCTCCCCCTGCCAGCCTCCGCCACCCCGCCTCGTTCAGTGGTGTTTCTTCGCCTGCCTGCCAGGTGGGAGGGGCAGAGCAAGGCGTTGGCAGGGTCGCGGTTCTGCCATGTTCTGCCAATAGCTGGCCATGGCCAGCAACTTGGCTGCGGTAGCTCAGCTGGGTGTGTACACTCGGCGCAGCACAGGCAGCGCCGCTCGCGGCGGGCCTGCAGCAGGCCTGCAGCTGCCTCCTCTCTGCCCCATACCCCGGCACCTCGCCCCCTGTGCTGCTGGCGTGGCATGGCGGCTCCCTTGTGGGTGCCTGCATGCCCGCCGCCTGGAAGCTTTTACAGAATCGGCGGTGGCGGTGGCCGAGCCGTGGATCTGCATCCCCAGCTGGTGCCAGCAATTCGCAGCTCTAGCGGGGGGGTGCTTTCAGGCCTGCGCTTGGCCAGCGCCCTGGGGAGTCCCAGGCTGGGGTCGTCGTCACCTCCCGCTGAGCGCCCAGCAGAGCCGCGGCAGCAGGCTCTGCGCAGGCCGGCTGCCTCTTGGTGCAGCGCCGCGCCTGGCTTTCTGCCGGGCCATCATGAGTGACTGAACCTTCCAATCGCGGTGCCAACCCGTAGAACCCCCCGGGCCTTGGGAGGTCGCTTCGGGGGGCTGGAGGGACCATCAGCCCATGGCGGGCCGCCTGGACTGGGCTGCAGCTCGCACCGACAGGCCGTGCTGGCTGCGCTGTGACCAGCAGCACACACTGCTTGTCCCCAGAAAGGCCTTGCCAGCTGCTGACGCCAGCGGTATGGCGAGGGAAGCAAGGCAGGTGACGGTGCGCAGGGTGGGGCCCAGCCTGTGCAGCGCTGCAGGTCTGTCCATGTGGCCTGTCTTGGCCTGCCTGGCCAGGCTGCCCAGCCAGCTTGGTGCTGTACACCAGCGGCCTGCAGTCTCACTCCCCGCCTGGTCTGTCCCAGGCCCTGTTTTACAGTCACCCCGCTGTGTGCGCCAGATAATCCAGCTGTGGCCTCTGGCCTATCACAGCGGGGTGACTGTAACGCAGGGCCTGGGACAGGCCAGGCGGGGAGTGAGACTGCAAGGCGCTGGCTGTACAGCACCAAGCGGGATTGCCTGGGCAGCGTGTACAGCGCGAGCGGCAGCATCGAGGCCGACATCGGCTCGCGGCTCAGGCCAGCAGGCCGTGCCTTTCACCAGCTCAGCAAGGTCTGGCGCATGCGCAAGCCTGCCCCCGGCCACCAAGATGACCGTTTTTTTGGTATAGCGTGAAGGCCACACTGCCTTGTGGGTGCCTGCATGCTTGCCGCCTGGAAGCTTTTCCAGACTGGCGCGCCAGCCTGGCACGAGCGGCGGGCACCCTGGTCGGCCCGCCAGGCTGTTTGCCCGCGCCGTCGCCGCCACATGTGCCGCTCCCGACGCCCCGCGGCCGCCGCTGCATGTACTGCTGTACCGCACACGTACTGCATTAATTCACGCTGTACCGCCCCCGTACCGCAGGTGGACGGCATCGGGAACCTGGTGGAGCTGAACGGCCGCTTTGCTGCTGAGCTGGACTCTCCAGTGCTCATGGTGAGACGAGGGGGAGGTCCTTGCTCCGCAGCCCTGTTTTTGCCCCTCCTCGGGGCACCGCACAGCACCACACACGCAGGCAGCCTGGCCCCACACCCCTCTTGCTGCTCTGCTGCCGCTGCTGCTGCCGCTGAGTAGGCCTCGCACAGCTCACGCTAGTGGGTCCCCCTTCCCTCCTCCCTCCACACTCCTCCTCCACCACCACCACCGCCACCATCGCCGCCACCTTCCCCTCTGCAGATCATGGACCTGAACCGCGACGAAGAGGTGACGGCCAGCGAGCTGTACAACCGAGCCATGATCTCCAAGCAGGACCTGCAGGCGGAGCACGCGGGTGGGCGAGCCGGGTGGCGGCCTGGCCTGCTGGAGGGCAGACGCAGCGGGGCGGGCGGGCGTCCTGCTGGCTGGCTAGAGGCAGAAGCAGCAGAGTGGTCGGCATCTGTGTGCGTGTGTGGTGGAGTGCCAGCTGGAGCTCCTAGCTTCCGTGCCAGCCTCCGCCACCTCCTTGGCTCGCAAACCTGCAGCCGCAGCTGCCCACCTCGCCAGCCCACCCGACCTTCCCTGTGGCCAACGCCTGCTGCCCACGTGCCCGCTGCAGACGTGCTGGGCGTCGTACTGAACAAGGTACCCAAGCGGGACCATGCCATCATCAACGCGCAGCTGTCCAAGAAGCTGGCGGCTGCGGGGCTGCCCTACGCGGGCGGCATCCCGGCAGACGCCACCATCGGCACCGCCAGGTGGGCTGGTTGGCAGCCGCCTGGCAGCTGCCAGAGAGGAGCTTCCCATACCGC